GCCCATATTTTTATTTTTATTATTTTTATGTTTGTATTTATTTGATGGTTTTACAAAGTTTTGAATCTTGTGGTTGATTGTTAGAGATTTCCTAAAAGCTTCAAAACTTTAATTATTTATTATTATTATTATTATTATTTATTTATTTATTTGTTTTAATAGTCTTATTTATTTGAATTTTAAATACGTGTTTGGTTTCAAAAGCAATAAGTGTGTCTGTTCCTAACAGACACCATAGAGCCTTTTTATACAGGACTCTAACATTGGGAAAAATACACAACGTTCTCTGTTATCTCTCTCTCTCTCTCTTTCTCTCTCTCTCCCTCTTTACTGTATTTTTATATTCCATATTTCTGGGCAATTGATACATTCTTGGCAAATTCTTCTGGTGCAACTGTACCTTGTATCAAATCTTGTAAAGTTTTGGGTTGTATTTTGGAGTCGTTTGTGATCGTTAAAATCTGTACGGAGGGAGCGCATAATGACTTTAGTACAGTGTCTTTGATGTGCTTTTCACAATCACACAGGCCATATTCTGAACCATTTTCATCTTTTTCTTATTCTGTTATATATATATATATATATAATTTTATTGAATTGTAAAAACCTATTTTTTTTAGAATCTGTTTTGCTTTCAATTTTATTTTATAAAATTGATTTAAAATAATTATTGTTCAATTCTCCTAACAAATAATGGTAGTGTGGTGTGTCAAGTGTGAAGGATAAATGGATGGGATGTAGTGTACCTTTCTGAGAAACCCTGGTGGATAATGTTCTCCAAATAGTCTCCAAACATGACATAGGTCTGCCTTTGAGGATTTTGGGTTTTCCACATGGATCGACTCATTTGTGTTGGTTTAGTTGTTGAGATTTTGGTGTGTATTCTCCATTTCTTGTATGTAAGGAAAGCCTGCAAATTCTTGAAAGATGGAGAGGGAATAAAACTACAGTAATGGACAAATGCCCAAGTTGTGGGAGCACTTTTGCCTTTTATAACCTCTCTCTCTCTCTCTCTTTAGGGAAACAACTCTGCTATTTGCACAGAAATAACAAGTGCTGCTGAAGAAAATATATGCAGTACTCCAATTTGATAATTTTTGGTCTCGACAGTTGGATCTGTGAAGTGAAGTCCCACATCTGAATATTAAAGTAGTATTAAGCATATAAGCTTGAGGGACCTTAAGAGCTAGTTTTTGGGGTGAGTTCTACTAAAAATCGTGTAATATAGTATCAGAGCTGGAGCACTCAGGGATGGATAGGGTGCGTGTCTCTGGCCTGCACGCCGCAGGTGTTGCCGAGTGAGCACGCTGGGCATAAGGAAGAGTGTGAAGCAAAGTTTCACATCGCCTGAGTACTAAAGGGAGAGTGTGAGGGCACTCTCACCTTAAGAGCTAGCTTTTGGGGTGAGTTCTACGCCAGATCGCGTAACAGGATCATCACTTTTGTGTTTGATATTCTAGAAGATAATATAAATGTGTCAATGAATAAAGAGTGAAAGTTTAGTTCATGATTACCCAAAGCTACGTATTGGAATTTTTAAGGAGAATTACTAGTAATAAAATTCTTGTGTCTGATATTCAAGCTTCTAGTTTCATAAGGAATCATATGAAAAATGATAAACTTTTAATTATTTTAATTATTATTATTTATTCTTAAATGATTAATATTTGTTGTGAGATTTCTATAGGGTTTGAGAAATTAAATTTCTAATTAGTTTGACAATGTTGATTCTTGATAAATAGATGTTCTGGAATTATTTTCTTATTTCAATCCCTTTCAAATGATAGAGATCCAGAATCATATTCTCCTTCCCTTCAAAATTTTTGCCATCCAAACCTGTTGCCTAATATTTTTTCAGAAATCACCCCCTCTCTATTGTGTACGTTTCTCTGTGGGAATTAGATTTTTCCTAGGCAGAAAGCGTCATATCCTAGACATCAAGCATTGTGGTCCACGGAGTATTAAATTCAAAATAGGTCTTCACTCGGTTCATAGCCGTCGGGAATAAAAAGCTGCCAAAACTGCCAAACTAGACGAAACTATAGGATAAAAACAAATCTATGCAAGGGAAAGAAAAACAAGGAAAAAAGCTTATATTTCATTTATGTTATTTTTTTGGTTAAAATTTTGTATAAACCTTTAACCATGAGAATATTATGGAAACAATCCTCAGGGTATGGATCCCTTGATCGTAGTTATTCTGCCAATTTGGTAACTTACCTTCAGCAGGGATAGACACAATTTTATGGGTTGACACTTTTAAAGTGTGTGATCAAATTGCAATTTTTAATTGGATTGTGTGCCATTTTCAATGATCAACTTTGGTGTTCAGGTTAGTGTGGTAAGAGTTCAATTTTGTTCAGTCATTTGACGAGTTTTGTGAACACAACATAACTTGTGATTTATTCAAAGCAATGAATGTCCAAAATTTTGGGTGCGAGACCAATACATTTTTTGAATGGAGTGTTTCACTCTTCTGGACCAATGACTTGTCAGTGTGGGCTTTGTTCTGTTTTTGCGAAGTGGGGTTTTTTTTTGACTGATCTGAACTTTGTTCTCTTGGGTTCAGTTGGGACCATGCTCATCATCTGATTCAATTTACTTTTTGATAAACTCCAGTGTTGAATACGCAATGCGATTCTTGAGATTGCTTTAAAAGCAAACATGAGGGCTCGAAAATGAAACATTTTCCAACAGATTAATTTAGGATAAACGAACTAGGCTATAAAAAAAATTGGTATTGGGGGGGTTGGCATGATCATTTTTGCAAAAAAGTTGGCTTGCAGCCCATGGATTTCTCACAGTATGTGACAACAATAAATATATTTATGTTGAGGATCGGGGGCACACCAGGGAACTCAAACAAGCAATAACACACAAGTTTTAACGTGGTTCGGCAAGTCGCCTACGTCCACGGGCAGCGGATTCACTATATTGAACAAAATGGTAAGAATTACACACTCTCTGTAATTCTCTCTCTCTTTGCTCTCAACTCACACCTCTCAGCTCCAATTCTGATGATTTATATCCTCTCCCTCCCGTCTCTATTTATACACAAAGGAGTAGGTGGGAGAGCCTTCATTCTTGACTTTTGACATGGTTGGTGGCCACCAAGCTTGACTTGGTTGGTTGCCTTGGTTGGTTGCCTTCCATTGTTGACATGAGGATCACCCCTTTCACATGGGGTGGCCTCCAGAATCTGTAGCCAATATTCAACAATTTATTGGTCTCACTTATTCTTTAAACATGGACGACTAGATGTTACAGCTGACGAAAGAGCATTTTGATTAAGACCATCAAATCATACTTAGACAATATTTGGTCATATTTTAATCATAATTAATCAGGTCATTGTTTTATTGTTTAATCTCTTGTCTGGATTATTTTGGCTTTTTTTGGTGAACAACAATTTGATGTTTCTGTTAATAGTGCAAATGTCGAGAGGGAAAGAGTGATAGGATTTTGAAAGTGTTCAGAATTTTTGAGTAAGGCTTTTTTTTTTTTGTCTTCCAAGAAAAGTATATATCATTTAAAACGCTGAGTTCAGAATTTTTCTCTCTTACATTGTTTGTTTAGGTTTGTGAATAATGGAAGTGACCGGTGTAGTATATGTTTTGCTGAGCTCGTGGGTCAGGCAGAGAGTGGGTAGACAGGTCGCCTCTTGTGGGCCAACTGATCAACTTGTGCTTCAAGCTAGGCCCAAGCCCAACCCATATCTCATTCGGATTGTCCCGCCCCATCCTATCCCGCTTGGGATACAGACATAGGCCGGGTAACCCATCAAGCCATGTAATGATGCTTATTCCATAACGTGCTTGGTATTTATTATTAGTATTATTATTATTTTCTTCACATTTTAATTTTTTAAATTAGTCTAAAGGTCGCAAAAGAGGATACAAAATTGTTCAAGATCTCAAATGAATTACCAAACATTTTATACAATATTTATATCAGTATGTGTCTCATGTTTTGTGGATCCGATATGTAGAATATTTGATAATTTTTTTGAAATTTCTAACATGGCTGAAGAGGATATTGAGCAAAAATTATTTGGTAAATAGTTTTACAAATTAGAGGAATTGCTGAGATCATACATAGCAGCATTCCAACGTAACCTGAATTAACTCTGGGATGTCCCTTTCTTGGACACAACACAATCATAGTTGCCAAATTGAATTGATGATCCAATTTCGCAATCTTTTTTATTTCGTGATTATCAGAACCCCGTTGTCACCTTTGGGTTTGTTCTGATACATTTTCTTTTCGAACATATCATTTATACTATTATATTTACTCATACTATTATATTAAGTAAAGGTTGAATTTAATAACCTAACTTTTTCTGTCACTTGTTTTTTATTTAAAAAAAATTATATAGATAGAAAGAGTGAGACTTAAATTTTAAATTTAATATTTTATTTTATTTTTATTTATTTAAATTACATACTCGTCATGTGTGTCAATGGTTAATTTATATAAATAAATACATTTTTTTTTAAAAGGCATAGATAGTGCATAATTGAAACACATTTGTATTAAAAATAATGAATAATTTAATTTTAAAATCATATAATGCTCCACGTTTATAACAACGGTGTGCTGTGAGCCACTCATAGCAGGGACAGGTTCCGTGATCATCTTGGTTCTGTGCTGTTGAAAACGATTTCTCTGGAGGCTGGGTATGGCGCGTTTTTTTGTTCTATTTAAAAAAAAAAAAAAATTGATTGAAAATGTGTCAGAAGAAGGAAGGATCAGATTGATGGAAAATAAAATGGGTTTGTCTCGTCCTCTGTCAATCACGTGTATGTCTACGATTGCATTTTGTCCATTTTTAATTGTCAGTTCATTTTCTTATTTTGTTAGTCTCTCCAAACTCAAGTTGATTCCTATCCTCCTTGAGTTTGAGGGGGGCTGTTAGTAATATAATATTCAATACATAAATCAATAATATTTATACACAATTTATTTCTCTCTCTATCAATTTATCTTACAAGATTGATGGAAAATAAAATGGGTTTGTCTCGTCCTCTGTCAATCACGTGTATGTCTACGATTGCATTTTGTTTGATGCAAATGGAGAGTTTCAGCCATGCAAAGATAGAACCCAAAACCAATCCTAACTAAAAAACAATATAAATATACATAAGCGCTTGTAATAATTTGTAATATTGGGACACACTCGTGTCTGTGTCTGTGTTGGTGTCTCTCAACAATGGAGGGTGTACCAGAAGATGGGTACACCATTAACGTACCATTGTTGGTTGACAACAATGATGAGAATGAGGACAAGCTTTATGAGAATGAAGCTGAGGGGAACACCTCCTTTTTCAAGACCTGTTTCAATGGGTTCAATGCTTTGTCAGGTTATTTTTTTATTTTTTGTCAATTCGATTACTTTATGGTTTAGGTCCAGCACTTGATTCTTGTTTTTGTATGTAAGTATATAAATTGATCTAGTGTTTTACTGTTTGGTTGCTGAGTGACAAATTAGACTGAAATTGCAGCACCATGCCCAATACAAATAATTGTGTTGGTTTCTGAACTTTTGGCAATTTGAGTACCCAAACAATCATATTTTTTTGACTCTTTTTTCATCAGTTACCTCGGATGAATAATCCTTCAGACCCCCACCACCCTCACTGTTTTTTGATTGGTGCAGATTTTTTTTTTTTTTTTTTTTTTTTTTTTTTTTTTTTTGAAGGCTTGCACTTACAGCCCCCCACGTGGAGGTGGGGGTGCTGGGGTCACCCCCACTGGGGGTCCCCAGCAGTGCTGTTCCTCGGATTGAAGCGGAGGGTGGATTAGAAGTCATGTGGGAAGTAGTTGAAAAGAGTAGTAATAAACTCATTTTGGGTGTTGATTTTTGACCACATAATCAAGCAGAAAAACTCAGTAGGAGAGCACCGGCAGAATAGATTAAGCCCGAACAACCTGTCACAGGAAGATAAGAATCCGGCGGTGGTTCGTTCACCCGGGGACACTCCGACGATCAAGTCAGTAATTATCTTTCAAAGATAGCAAACAATGCTTAACTCACAATAAAGAACTTACTGTTTACAATATATCACACATACCTCAGACCCACGGGGGTGCCCTACGTTTATAGCCAGCGCTTGACCTGATCCTTGTAGAGGTCTAACCTCAATGGACTCAGGTTCAATGTTCATCTTGGACTCCCAATTAGATAGGGATAAACTCCCTAAGAGGTTTATTTTTATCCAGACTGAGATCCTCCCCTATTCTAGGACTCTTGTCTCTTATCCATTCATCCCGAATTCCGATATCTCCGTAGATAACCTTGGCCTAGTCGAGATAACCTCGGTATCATGACCAGGCCACGTGGCACCTCGGCTGATACCTTGGCATTACCTTAGCCACGTGCTGTCACTCTCAAAATATATCCCCACAACTACCTTCTAGGTTTTATTACTTCGGCATTCTGAGGTGATGGAACCTACGTCGCTTGTTCAAATACTATGTCGGCTAAAAATTCATTCTTTCCCATTGATCGAGATCATTACTCGTCGGCTTCAAGTACCCAGCATTTAATTGTATATTTTTATCAAGGGTCAAGAACCAAGAATCTAGTTCTTTACATATCCCAGCCGAGGTCGTTCCTCTAGCCGAGATTGTTGTCTTATTAAATCAAGAACTCCAAGAGTTTTATCTGCGCATGAGCTGTTATGCACGGTTTTCTCAATCGTTTCTACCACGCATCTTTCTCTCATTAGTTCGTACCTGACACGCGCCATCAGGTCGCGTCGTTTTTGCGCACGCCGCCTGACAGACACGTCGTCCAAGACGTATTCATTTCTTTTTGCCGCCTTTTCAAGTTTCAGCAAACTCTCTCTCTCTCTCTCTTTCTTCGTCTTCTCACTTCGTATTTTCGCATTCTCTCTGTGCTCAAGATTTTCTCTTTTTAACAATTCCTCAACCTCCATTGCTATTTCTTCGAGCTCTCTGCAACTGTGTTCCGTTCACCTCCTCCGGCGAAGCATTTACTGCTCTGCTCCACTCGTTGTCACCGTCTGACTTTGGCGAACCTCAAACTAGTGTCCTCGACCTCGGACCCAATTGGTGAGTTCTTAGTTTCTTTCAATTTTCAGTTTCAGCCCTCCATGATTTTGAATATGTTCCTTCTTTACCATTTGTCTATTCTGTTGCTATTGAATCTGTTTTCATGGTTGCACTCTGTTTTTTTCTTTGATTACGAATCAATTTCTTGTTCTTGAATCTTAAATCTGTGTAGTCTTTTGAAAATGCCAATCATGTTTTCTTGTTGTGACTTTTGCACACTGTCTCTCGCACACTCACTTAGTATTCATGAATCTGTACTCTTCATGTTTCATGGATGTTGCTTTCTTGATTCTGATTTGCGCTCCTTTTTGCTTTGTCTTGCTTTGTCTTCAGATTCTTGCCTTTGATTCCTAATTCAGTATAGATTTAAGTTTTGGGATTTGATAGAAATCACAATCTCTAGGAAAATTGAAACAAATTCCCCCTAGATCTTGAAAAACCCTCGCCCCAGTGCCAGTTTAGGGTTTATTCGAGGTTTCCAAACCCATACCAAATATTCTTTTCTGAAATTTTGCACCAATCCACCCTAAGCTGACATCATGGGAATGTTTAGGTGGAAAGTTGACACCCCGGCCAAGCTGGAGTATTTTAGGCAAAATTTTTCCATTTTAGCTGACGTTCAGATCAGGTTGGCTGGAGAGGAAGACTTTATCATGCCAGTTGGGGACTCCATGCCCTTTCCTGTGGTAGCATTTATCGAGTGTGGACTTCGACTTCCTTTAGACATCTTGTTTAGGGAAATCCTCCACTACTACAAACTTAACCCTATGCAGCTGGCCATTAACTCCTATAGGGTCATTAATGGTATAATTGCCCTAGCTCGCCTAGAAAACGCTAGGATAACACTAGCCGACATCCAATTTTGTTATACCATGTATGGCTTAAAGTCTGAAAAATGCTACATTTACTACCTTAAATCGAGATCCACAGTCTACAAAATCATAGCCGATCTCCCAGACTCCAACAAGGGTGTTAGAGATGATTACCTGATTGTCCCGGGTAATTGGGAATTTGCTCTAGATGATGATCTTCGTCTCTTCCCTCTACGCCGATCGGTGTTTAAAGAGGATGAGGGTAAGAACTAAGTATCAACTTCTTTGTTTAAGACTTTATCACTTTATTCTCTTTATTTGTTCTAATGTTTGTTTTCTACCTTTTACAGCTCTTCCTTAACCATCGAAAGACTTCCGCTAATTCTTCTTTCCCAGCAAAGACTTGAAGAGGCTGCTGGGCCTACCCATTGACCTCTGCAAAGCGCCCTTGCTACTCAACTACATCCCTATATACAAGTCAGCTCTGCCCGACGTTCCTAGGCGCAAGAAGACTTATCCATCTACTTCAACTCCTCTAATAACTTTATCTCCAAGGCCAGACCAGGCCTCCACCTCTGACCCAGTTGATCAGCCAACCATTTTTGCCCTTCAACTTATTCCTCCATCCCAATTTTCGCTCTTGTCGGTAGAACTTGTAGCTGAAAATGCCAAAACTCTGTGGCGTCGGCTTACGATCCAACAAACCCACCTACTGCACTTTCAGCAATCTGCTTCGGTACCAAAGTTACTATTGCCACTACCACCGCAGAAATGGGTAGTGCAAAAATCATCCCGAACGACCTTCTTGCCGACATCCCAGGTGTGGCGTTAGTGCACTCTTCTAGTCCTTTCCAATCTCAGCAAAAACCCGAGGCAAAAAGGGTTAAAAGGGCTAAGGCCAAACCCAGCGCCACTGAGGTGGAGTCAGAAGACACGGTGTCAATTTCAAAATTGGCTGAAGTAGAGAAGTCTGCCGAGAAGAGGCCTACACAGGCCGAGGCATCTGATCAACCGCAGTCAAAAAAGCCGAGGTCCGGCGGGTCTTCTGAGCCATCTAGATTTCGGGCCGACGCTTCCTAGACTCCATCTGTCACGGTTGGAGACCGACCTCTTCTAACCGGGGACAGCGTGCTCAACAGTCTGCAAGTTGATGCTGCCATTTCCACTGCTGTTCTACACCCAGTCGACATCAATCGGATCAATCGGATGGCTGAGCTTTCGGAGTATGAAAATTACGCGATGATGGTGCAGCATTGTGTTTTGGTAAGTCTCAACACTTGTAATTTTTGATCCAATTTTAACTCTGGTTTTCATACTTAATGAATGAATTTTCTTTGCACTTTTGCAGGCTATCCAGTAGGGTCATTCCCATGCATTCAAGACCGATGAGTTCAAGAAAGAACTAACCCAAAAAAGTAAAGGAGGCAGCCAAACTCCTTTCCTCACTAAACAAAGCCGAGGCCCGTATCCGAGGTCTTCTAGATTAGGCCAAGTGAAGAACGCCGAAGACCGCGTCAAGGCTGTAGAAAACGTTGCCAAGGTTGCTCAAGCCAAGGCAAAAGAGGCCAATGATAAAGAATCTCAATCCCAGATCGAGCTGCAAGTGGCCCTTGCTATGAAGGCGGCCGAGGTAAAAAAGGCGGACGAGAAGGCCTATGCCGAGGGAGTAGCCGGCGTTCATGACGAATACAAAAAGCAAGTCAAACAGGCATGTAATAGGGGTTACTCCCTTGGTTGGATGTTTGCTTTGAAGGAGTTGGCTGTCCTCGACGACTTGTCCCTCTGGGACGAGAGCTAACTTGTCATGCATTTTTCTTCCCGCTCCAAGCCCATTTGAGGATGAGGCTGAGGATGAGGATGATGAAGAAGTTGAGGCCGATAAGGCTGGAAAAACTGAAGTTGCTGGGGCCAAGTCCCCAACTCTGAATAAGCAAGCCATGGACTTGTCTCAGGACGACGAGGACGAGGTCCCTAAGAACACACTTGAAGCCGAGGTTGAAAGTGCCAAGAAAAGCCTTGACAAGACTCTTCTAGAGATCGAGGCCGAGAAGGTTGCCGAGAAGCTCTCCCAGCTGTCTACTGAGGCCGAAACATAGCCAACCGCCGATGCAGAACAGTCTATTTAGAATCTTTTCTTTGTTTGTACTTTTTCCTTTGTTTTGAATAGTGTTTGTTTTGTCGGGCCGATGTGCCAGCTTATGTACTTGAACAAGTTGTCTTTTTTTAATGCAAGTCTTATATTTTCTTCCAAGTGTTGAATGTATGCCTTCCTTTCTCCTATGTATGTTTACTGCTTTCCTTCATGTCTTTCATGCTTCCATACTTAGAATTTTTTTGTATTTCTTCAAAGTATACCTTAACTGTATAATAACTCTGGGATATAATACTTCGAATATAAACCTTGAATGTTTTCCTTGGCCAACCATTGGCATACCTTGGCTAACCCCAACTTGTAAATTTCTCTGAAAATTTCAGCAAGTCTCAAGCTCTTAAGTGTATTTATTATTCCTAGCTCCTTGCCCCCTAATGTGAATCTAAGTTCCACTTAAGTTCATATTAAGCATGTGTCTATGGTCTTTCACCGAACTCAGATTCAAACAAAGACTTCCTGAGGTGTTTCAACCTTGGTTTCTCTGTTAATGAACTTAGTTCCATTCTGAGTTTTGACTCTGCCGATATGGCAAGTCCAGATTAATTTCAACTTAGTTCAACTCTATTATGTGCAAGTATAATTCAACTCTGCTATATAATGAGTCTAATTCGTCATGTTTCATTGAGAAATATCGCCAACTTAGTTCAACTCTATTATATGCAAGTATAATTCAACTTTTCCATATAATAGGTCTAAGTTATTCATCATGTTTCATTCAGAAATATCGCCAACTTAGTTCAACTCTATTATATGCAAGTATAATTCAACTCTGCCATATAATAAGTTTAAGTTATTCGTCATATTTCATTCAGAAACATCGCCATGGGACTGGCCAGTGCTATCTCACAAATTTCAAATTCATTAAACCAAAATTTTATTATTACTTCGGCTAATAAAATTATGACATAAACTTAAAAAAAAAAACAAAAATCTAATGATAGAAAAATTTCAAGTTGCAAGTGTTCCAAGGTCTTGGCAACTTTGCCATCACTATCCTCAAGCCAATATGCCCTATTGCCGGCGACCGAGATGATTCTATAAGGCCCCTCCCAATTTGGGCCTAGCTTGCCCTCCCTAGGATCCTTCTTGTTGCTGACCACTTTCCTCAGTACAAGGTTTTCCACTTTGAACTCTCTTGGTTGACCTTCTTGTTGTAAGTCCTAGCAAGTTGTTGCTGGTATACCCCCAGCCGAATTGCTACTCTCTCTCTTTTCTCCTCCAGTAGGTCTAGATCTCGGGTTAGAAATGCCTAATTATTACCATTTTCCACTCCCTAGGTTCTGATCCATGGAATGCCAACTTCTAGTGAGATAACTGCTTCAGCGCCATAAGCCATGGCAAATGAAGACTTCCCAGTTGATCTTCTCGGCATAGTCTGATATGCCCAAAGTACATTGAGCAACTCCTCCACCCATTTTCCCTTTGCTGCTTCCAGCCTCTTTGTAATCCCATCTAAGATAGTCTTATTGGATACTTCTGCCTGACCATTACTCTAAGAGAAACTTGGAGTAGAGTAGTAGTTCTTGATTTTGTATTTTACGCAGAAGCTTTTAATTAGCTTACTATCAAACTGTGTACTATTGTCTACTATTATTTCCCTTGGGATCCCAAACCTGGTGATGATGTTCTTCCATATGAAGTTCTTCATATCAATATCTCGAATCTTCGCAAGGGGTTCAGCTTCTACCCACTTTGTGAAATAAGCAGTTACTACCAGCAGAAACTTCCTTGGCTCAGTTGCTTAGGGCAGTTGTTCAACAAGATCTATGCCCCACTGGGCAAATGGTTAAGGGCTGGACACTGGGTTCAAATCTGCTGTTGGTTGATATATCAAAGGTGCGAACCTTTGACACTTTTTGCACTTTCTGACGTAGGCTTCAACATCCTTCTGCATATAGGGCCACCAGTACCCCTGAGTAATGGCCTTATGAGCAAGTGATCTGCCCCTAGCATGGCTTCCACATACCCGTTCATGTATTTCATACAAGAAGTTTTTAACCTGGGAGGGATGCAAACACATCAAAAGGGGGCCAGTAAAAGACCTTCTGTGGAGATGTCTTTCTACTGTTAGGCTAAACCTTGCCGACTTAGTCTGGTCTTATGCGTCTTTTTGCGATCATCTAGTAGCTTGCTGTCCCTAAGAAACATCACTATTGCATCCATCCAATTTGGACCCATTTCTACACATATTGCTTCATACTCTGTGATTAGCGGTTCCACACTTGGACCTGACAAATAATCAACCATTATTGTCCTTGCCTCTCCTGACTTCATTGTACTAGCCAGATTAGCCAAGGGATCGACGTGACTGTTATCATCTCAGCTAACCTGCTGTAGTCATCAATCCTGAAACAAGGCTAGCAGTCTAATAACTTCTTTGACATAGGCTATCATTCTTTCATCTCGGGCTGCATACTCGTTTATTGCCTGGTTTACAATAAGTTGGGAGTCACAAAAGACTGCCACCTCGTCAGCTTCCATTGTTGCTGCTAACTTCAACCCTGCGATTAGTGCCTCATATTCTGCTTCATTATTTGAGGCTTTGAACCCCAAACGGATAGACTGTTCCAGCATTCACCCATCTGGTGACAACAATACTACTCCTGCCCTCGCTCCTTGATGGTTTGAACTCCCATCAACAAACAGGCAGAAGGAGTCGTCAATGTAGATATCGCAAGGCTTGGGTTTTTCTTCTTTCTTCTGCCCTGCTGTGGGGTTTTTCATTCCTAGCTTCGTCTCCTCTTGTTCCCCTGAATACACTAAGCCGCGGCTCACTGGAGCCCGATATGGGATGGCACCAGGTGTGAACTTGGCCACAAAGTCGGCCAGAACCTGGCCTTTGATTGCCGTTCCAGGCCTAAACTCTAAGTCATATTGGCCCAATATAACTGCCCACTTGGTTACCCTACCTGTCAGATCTCCTTGCTGTAACAGGGACTTCAAGGGATGCTCAGTCAACACCATAATCTTGTGGGCTTAGAATTAATGATTCAACTTTTTGGAAGCCATCAATAAGGCTAGCGTCAATTTCTCCAGGGGCAAGTACCTGGTCTCTGCGTTTGCTAGGGTTTTACTCACATAGTATACTATCCTTTGTTCTCCATTCTCTTATCTGATTATCACTGCACTCGCTGCATGCTTTGAAACGGCCAAGTATAAAAATAATTCTTTTCCAAGTATTGGATTTGACAGAACTAGAGTTGTTGTCAGGTACTTTGTCATGTCGGCCAAGGCGACTTTGCATTCCTCTGTCCACAAGAAATCTGTGGCCTTTTTCAACAAACTGAAAAATGGTTTACACTTATTTGAACTTCTGCTTATAAATCTGTTCAGGGTTGCGGCCCTTTCAGTTAACATCTGTACTTGTTTTGCCGATGTCGGGCTTTTAAAGAATAGTCTTGATTTGATTTGGGCTTGCCGCAATGCCCCTTTTGGTAACCAAGTATCCTAGGAACTTACCAGACCCAATTCCAAATGTGCATTTTGAAGCATTGAGTCAGAGCCGATATGTTTTAAGGATATCAAAAAATGCCTTCAAGTCGGCCAGGTGATTCTCAAGTTTTTTGGTCTTCACAACTATGTCATCAATGTATACTTCCATTATTTTACCAATTAGATATCTAAACATCTTGGTCACCAACCTCTAGTAGGTTGTTCCTGCATTTTTCAACCCGAAAGGCATCACTCTGTAGTAATGCAGCCCTTTTGGGGTGATAAATGCAGTATTCTCCTCATCAGGGGGTACTTTGCTATCTAGTGGTATATTCTATAAGCATCCAGGAAGCTCATCCTTCCATACCCTGAAGTGACATCTACTAATTAATCAATCTTGGGTAGTGGAAAACTGTCTTTGGGACAAGCTTTATTCAGGCTAGTGAAGTCCACACAGACCGTTCACTTCCCATTCTTCTTTTTCACAATAACTGTGTTTGACAACCAAGTTGGGTAGTTTACCTCTCGAATGGCTCTGGCCTCCAACAATTTGTCCACTTCTTCTTCTACTGCCTCCACATGAACCAACGTTGGCCTCCTTACTCGTTGAATGATAGGTTTAGCTGACCTGTCTACATTTAGTCTATGGCAAGTGATCTTGGGATCAATGCCAGGCATCTCGTATGGCGTCCAGGAAAATACCTCTATGTTTTCTCATAAGAATGACTCTAACTCCCTTTCCTCCTCCTTGGCCAATCCTGAGCTGAGAAGGAAGAAGTGCTCTTCATCACCTTATTGGACCAGAATTTTCTTTAAAGCTTCCTCGCTTTTGTTGGCCGGCTCTTTGCCGACATCATCTAGGACCTACATGTCTTCATCCTCAATTTCTACTATTTCTGCCTCTCGCACATTACAGGTGGATTTTATTGCTGCCATGGAGCAATTTTTTTCCTGCACTTGATCCCTTGTGACCTCCTCAATTCCATGCTCTGTTGGAAACAACAATAGCTGGTGCAGTGTTGAGGGAACATCCCTCATTGCGTGCAACCATGGCCTTCCCAAGATAACATTATAAGGGGAGGGGGTGTCAATTATTGTGAACTCTGTGCTTACCTTCTTAGTGCCTGCTTGTACCTCTAAATTTATTGCTCTCAGGGGCCATGCCGGCGTTCCATTGAACTAGACCATTAGGCTGTTGGACTGCTCCAAATCATCTCGGTGAAGGCTGAGCTCCTTGTAACATCTGACATACATGACGTCACAAGAGCTGCCTTAGTCAATCAGAATGCGCCTTACCTGGCATTCTCTAATCTTGAGGGATACTACCAGAGCATTGTTGTGTGGATGCTACACCATGTCTAGGTCGGCTTCAGTAAAGGACACCATTGGTCCCTGGTACTCGTCTGTCCTAGGTCTCTTTTGCTGGACCTGATACACATGCTGTAAGTGCTTTACCCTCTGAGTCTCCTCACGTATCTCATTTTCATTAACCCTTAAGTGAATCACATTGATCACTCGAGGTCCGTCTGCTTGCGGTTGTGGTGTTGTCGGTGGCTGGGGCAGCCTTGCCTGCTCTTCCCTCATTGGGGCCTCATTTACTAGGTCCCTTAAGTGACCTTGTCTGACCAGATCTTCTAAATGCGTCTTTAGGGCTCTATAACCCTGTG